GAATTTTCATTGATTTACAAGGAGCTTTTGATAAAGCCAACAAAGAGGTTATTTTATATGAATTAGCTAGTCTTGGTGTTAAAGGGAAATTATTGCGCTGGATAGGGGATTATCTTTACGAAAGGAAGGCTCAGGTGTGGTATCAAGGTTGTATGTCAGGTGTGAGGTCTTTTGAACTCGGCACACCTCAGGGAGGAGTTTTGAGTCCCACCCTGTTTAATGTACTAATGAATAAGATAGCATCTGAGAGATACTCAAATGGGGTAACTCCGATCATATATGCCGATGATATTTTATTTCAGGGCAAAGATATTTCAAAGGTTCAAACAGTGTTGGACAATTTCGGAAACCTGTGTCACCATATGGGATTGGTGGTTAATGAAAACAAAACTAAGTTTGAATGTAGAAGTCGGAGCCCCATTGTTTTGAAAATAAACGATAAAAATATAGAGAGAGTTAATATATATAAATATTTAGGCATATATGTTGGATATACCCATGAGAGTTTGGAAGCTGAGATGAACAGACTGTTGGGTCAATGTCGGAAGAGATTACAACCTCTGAAGGCTTTGGCATGCTGTGGAAAGGGAGTGGGAGTCCCTGTGCTACGAATGTTATACTTGAGTACTGTAAGATCTCTTATTGATTATGCTGCACCTGTCATTTCTTGTTTTGGTAAAGGTAGGATGGGCAAGTTGGAGAAGGTACAAAATGAAGCAATGAGAATTATCTTAGGATGCCCAAGAAATGCTATGATTGAGATAATGAGGATGGAGTTGAATCTGCAGAGTATTGGGGATAGAATTTCAGAGATAAATGTAGCCTCTGCCATTAGATTAATGAGAGGTGGGGGAGCTAATGAATTAATCCTCTCGGTTCAAAAGGTGGGAAGTAGTGAACAGTGTATGATGAAGAAGAGAGTATATATGAATAAATTATGTCATAATGTTATAAAGTATGATGTTATTACAGAGTGTGTTGCTGTGCCCAAGATAAAATTTACACCACCATGGGAGGATTGTAATGTAGATGTAGTAATTACTCCCTTGCATAAGAAAAAAAGTATGTATGAAATAGGAGAGCTGAGGGCAACATATGATTGTATAATTAGAAAACTGCCTACGGAAAACACTCTACATGTATATTGTGATGGGTCAGTAGCTAGGGATGGGAAGGCAGGATGTGGAGTCTTGATCAGGGAGTACACTGACATCGGCACTGTAGATACTGTTATTGGACGCCGCTTAACTGACAATGTCTCTTCAACGCAGGCTGAACTCCAAGGAGTATTAGCAGGATTACAGGAAGTAGTCAAATGTGGAAAAAATGCTTGCTTCTTTATTGACAGCAGAGGAGCGTTAGAGTCTTTAAATAGCAGACGCCCAGTATATCAGAATATTGTGATAGAGTGTAGAGAGAATGTTAAAAGACTAGAAAAAACTGGGTATAAAGTAAGATTCATGTGGATCCCTTCACATGTGGGAATACTGTTGAATGAGGTAGTTGATGACATAGCGAAGAGAGCCACTGAAAAAACTCTTGTTGATGTTGTATGTCAGTTAACCTTGAAACAAATAAAAACAAGACTCAAGGTGATTCAGGAGGGTGAAGAAATGATAAAGAGAATGGCAATGGTGGACAGTAGTAACACACTTAAGAATTATTCAATAATAAATACAAATTCGTCCTTCACTTATGGTAAAGGAAAGTCTACTTGGAAGGATTCAATTTACATGAGATTACGATTAGGATATAAATATATCTGGCAATACGGTGTTGATGTCAGTGAAAAAGATAAGGAGTGTAAATTATGCAGTATGCCGTCCGCCCACACCTTAGAACATTATGTATTAGAGTGTCACCTTATTGAAAAATATAGAAATAAGGAAATAAATAGTGTACCACATCAAATTGTTTGGATGTGTGATAATGGTATAATAGACAGTATACTTAGGAGCTACAAGAATTTTGCCCCAAGAATGTAACAATTATATGCTGTACTTGCTGTATGCAATGTTAAATGGGATTTTTGTACTGCTATATGTCTATTTGTACTCACTGAATTTGTGCGCCCCTTGAGGGACTTGAAGTAGAGGGGGGTAGAAATAGCCTAAGCTACTCTATCCCTTTGAGATGTATTTATTGCTTATCTCAATAAACATACTTGAACTTGAACTTGAACTTGAAGGGCGAAGAGGTAGAATAGCTGTTGACAAATCAGTCAACCCACCAACACAGACGTGCTTGGCCGAAGACACAAGCTCCTCCCCCAGTAAATACAAAGAAAACACCACTCGCCACCATCAGACATCTCTCTCAGCCCCCAACGGACCCATCCCCTCCCCAATCGTGTATATATTTATAAAAAAAATATATATAAATGAGTTTGGGTGGATGTAAATAGGAGCTGCCACGTATAGGCCTTCTGCAGCTATCCTGATTCTTATGTTCTTGTGTTTAAAGTTTGTGTTTACGGTTCGGTGTTCCATGAGCAAAGAGACGTGCGACGTGTAGTTCAAGTAGCAAACGCACACCAACGAATAACAATCAGAATCTTAATTGAAATCAAAACCATTGTTATATACAGTTGATTTACCTTCCACGTTTTTATTTTTAATAAATCCTAAATATTTTGTGGCTATGCTAAATATTATTGTAAATATGTATTCTGCTAGTTTATATCACCAATTAAATTGCGACAATTTGAACAGAGAAGAACGACGATTGGATCGCTGTGCACAGGAGGCCGACATGCCAGCAAACACACTCCAGGCAACAATATATCTTGGATAAGTCACTCTACAACATTGCCGCTTGTACCGTCGACTTCCTTATGGCGTTACCTGACACCTATTTTCGTCCAATTTAATTGTGAAGTGAGGTTACTTCATAGTAAAAATAATATTTTTTAATGTTCTGCATTCGGCACATAATAGTGGATAAATATACCACATTTCTTCATCCCTTATGTAATGCTGGGTGGCTTTTGGTAATTATACGGACCCATTACATTAAATATTTACATACCATTTGGGATGGGCATTGTGTATGCTTCACGCGCATGGTCTTGCATTTTCGATATTAAATGAATGTCTCGAGCCGAAGGGCATGAATTCAGCGCATATATTTTTGTGGCGGGTAAAACAAGAGTGCTTATCTGTGAGTTGATAGTTACAAGATCCGAGCTAGATGGTGTTGAGATTGCGAAAGGGATCTGGGAGTTATGATTAGTAAGAATTTAAAACCAAAGGATCAATGCATGAATGTACGTAATAAGGCAAATAGGACACTGGGATTTATTAATCGAAGCGTTAGTAACAAGACACCTGGTGTTGTTCTTCAGCTATATCTTGCTCTGGTTAGGCCCCATTTAGATTATGCAGTTCAGTTTTGGTCGCCGTACTATAGAATGGATATAAATTCACTGGAACGCGTCCAGTGTAGGATGACAAAGTTAATTCCCCAAATTAGAAATCTTTCATATGAAGAAAGATTAACAAATCTTAAATTGCATTCACTGGAAAGGTGAAGAGTTAGGGGTGACATGATTTACAAGTGGATGAATGGACATAACAAGGGGGATATTAATAGGGTATTAAAAGTATCAATACAAGACTCATCAATATCAATACAAATCAATACAATATCAATACAAAGTCCATCTGTGGCTAACTGCCAACAAACTCACCCTTAACATTGACAAAACTTTCTATATTCTGTTTGGCAATAAATCCTCTAATCAAATAAATCTCAAAATAAACAATACCCGAATTTGTAACAAATTAGATGGCAAATTCCTTGGCATTCTCATTGACCACAAGCTGAATTTCCAGGGACACATTCTAAACATATCAAAAAAGGTTTCAAAAACTGTGGGCATTCTTTCTAAGATCAGATATTATGTACCACGCCCTGCCCTGGTGACTCTCTATTACTCCCTTATCTATCCATATCTCAACTATGGTATTTGTGCTTGGGGCTCTACTACCCAAAATCACTTACGTCCTCTAATTACTCAACACAAAGCTGCTATAAGGACAATATCCAATTCTGGCCCCAGACATCACTCGGTACCCCTACTCAAATCTCTGAATATGTTAGACATTAAGTCACTGCACATTCTCTCATGTGTATTATACATATATAAAACGCTAAACTATAATGCCAATCCTGATCTCAAAAGCTTCATAGAAGGTTGTAACAGAACCCATGAGCACCACACCAGAAATAAATACAGTTTTGATATTCCTAGAGTACGACTTAATCAAACCAGAAATGCTCTACAAATCAAGGGGCCCAGAATGTGGAATGACCTTCCCAACCATGTTAAAGACTGTACCTCTCTCAACCAGTTTAAGTTAAAAACGAAGCTATACCTAATAAATTCTCTGTAACCTACCTTACCCCTCTGTTGTCAACCCATGTATGTTTTTTTTTTTTTTTTGTTTTGTTTTTCAATTCAACGCTGTTTGAATGTAATTTTCTGTAATAATTTGTAATTGTATTTGTGCTGCTTTTTCAACAATGTTCCCCCCTCTTTTACCTCTATTTTTATTTGTACTCAACACATTTTATTCTTTTTACCCATTAGTTTTAAGCTTTAGTCATTAGTGTTTTTTCCTGCCCGAAACGCTTTGCGTAATAGTGGCTTTAGGCATTGTATGTACTAGCTCTATCTATAAAGCCAACAAACTTTGTAAAATCTCTTTATGTATGTACCTTTACCTAAATAAAAATTGTTATTATTATTATTATTATTATATTATAAGATAGAACACGAAACAATGGGTATAAATTGGATAAGTTTAGATTTAGAAAAGACTTGGGTAAATACTGGTTCGGTAACAGGGTTGTTGATTTGTGGAACCAATTACCGCATAACGTGGTGGAGGTGGGGTCCCTTGATTGTTTCAAACGTGGGTTAGACATGCATATGAGTGGGATTGGGTGGTTATAAATAGGAGCTGCCTCGTATGGGCCAATAGGCCTTCTGCAGTTACCTTGTTCTTATGTATGTATCATTCGGCTTTTGTCACGTTGTGATGTGGGTGGCTGGTTCCGGGGGGCGCTGGGTGCCCCGGGAGAGGTTCCTCCGTCCTCCTTGCCTGGGCCCACATACACTTCAAGATGTTACTCGACCAAGATCACTTTCACTTCGAACATCTACAATCTACAGGCTACTCATGCCCGTGCCACCTCTTATGGTGGCTTCATCTTCATCAATTCTCAGTCCTCACCACCTCACTCCCACGCTACCTGCACTCTCCGTCGCCTCGTGTGGCGGGGCGTGGAGGGGGGCGCCTCGCTGGGCTTCCCCATCTGGCACCACTTTATTATACGTCTTTCCCACTAATGTTGTAAACTTGCTCAGCCAACGCCCACAGTCTTCTGGCACATGCCGTGTCATTTAATGTGGGCGCAACCTTTCGCGATTAGTGTTCAGTTCTGTGTAGACTCACGTGGACGCTGTTCAGCACATACAGGTCAATTTAAGGTATGTGGATGCAGGCATTACTTGACACTTGTTTAATTCACTGGGCTGTCTTTTTGTTCCCCAGCATCCTAACGTCATACCTAGCAGACCTTATTCGTCATGATTGCCAAGAGTATTTGTTAAGCTGAATACAGGTAGCACTTGTAGTCACTAAAGCACAGCTAGTGCCACATGCAATCTCTCTCCAATCTCACGGTCACATTGTTAATACATTCCTTACCTCATTTAGTTCAATATATAACTTAGGTTTTATGACTACCTTATATATAGCAACTTGCAGTTTCTACATTAAATTACTAATATAATTATTTACCTCCTATTGTTTCACTCACCTGGCCCCTCCCCCCCTAGAAAAAGTTTCCCAGCCTTTCGACCACTTGTGGATATGCCAACGACCTCACAGGAAATTGGCTCCATTATATCTGTGTTTGCAGAGGATGCAAAATTAAGTGTCAGGATGGAGAGATGGCGTTGTTGCAATTAGATGGCGTCGTCGTTGTTGCAGGTGCACGTGTTGTGGCGCTGTCGTTGCAGGTGCATGCGTTGTGGCGTCGTCGTTGTTGCAGGTGCATGCGTTGTGGCGCCGTTGTTGTAGGTGCATGCGTTGTGGCGCCGTTGTTGCAGGTGCATGCGTTGTGGCGTCGTCGTTGTTGCAGGTGCATGCGTTGTGGCGTCGTCGTTGTTGCAGGTGCATGCGTTGTGGCGCCGTTGTTGCAGGTGCATGCGTTGTGGCGCCGTTGTTGCAGGTGCATGCGTTGTGGCGCCGTTGTTGCAGGTGCATGCGTTGTGGCGCCATTGTTGCAGGTGCATGCGTTGTGGCGCCGTTGTTGCAGGTGCATGCGTTGTGGCGCCGTTGTTGCAGGTGCATGCGTTGTGGCGCCGTTGTTGCATGTGTTGTGACGCCGCTGTTGCAGGGGCATGTGTTGTGACGCCGTTGTTGCAGGTGCATGCGTTGTGGCGCCATTGTTGCAGGTGCATGCGTTGTGGCGCCGTTGTTGCAGGTGCATGCGTTGTGGCGCCGTTGTTGCAGGTGCATGCGTTGTGGCGCCGTTGTTGCAGGTGCACGTGTTTTGGCGCCGTTGTTGCAGGTGCATGTGTTGTGACGCCGTTGTTGCAGGTGCATGTGTTGTGACGCCGTTGTTGCAGGTGCATGCGTTGTGGCGCCGTTGTTGCAGGTGCATGCGTTGTGGCGCCGTTGTTGCAGGTGCATGCGTTGTGGCGCCGTTGTTGCATGTGTTGTGACGCCGCTGTTGCAGGGGCATGTGTTGTGACGCCGTTGTTGCAGGTGCATGCGTTGTGGCGCCATTGTTGCAGGTGCATGCGTTGTGGCGCCGTTGTTGCAGGTGCATGCGTTGTGGCGCCGTTGTTGCAGGTGCATGCGTTGTGGCGCCGTTGTTGCAGGTGCACGTGTTTTGGCGCCGTTGTTGCAGGTGCATGTGTTGTGACGCCGTTGTTGCAGGTGCATGTGTTTTGGCGCTGTCGTTGCAGGTGCATGCGTGATGGTGGGATTTTTACATGTTGAAAAATGTAGTGTTGTACTGTATGTGGTTGGTCGAGTGGTGGTGGTGTTTGTAATGGTGTGTATATATAGTGATAGGGCTTAACAAGAGATAGGAGTGCATATCAATGCACGTGCATACGTATATGTTCTCTCATGTGCAGTAGTGTGATGAACATTTAGTGTCTTGACTTGCACCTGACAGTCCCCAAACCAAGCCAGAATATTCTATGACAATTACGTATATCACCCAGCATTTTGCGAGCGCTTTGGCCTGGGTTCGTATTCTGGTCGGGGAGGATTGACCGGGTACCAATCCTTAACTAGCTTCTGTTCACCCAGCAGTGAATGAATACCTGGTTGTTAAACGATTTGGCGGGTCGTATTCCGGGGAAAATTAGGATTAAGGACCTCCCCGAAACGCTATGCGCGTTATTAATAATAATAATAATAATTCATTTGCAAGAAGGTACAGTGGATCGGTGAGATTACATAAGCTTGGGATTTTTACATTCATGCAAAGCCACAAACACGCATAGAGTTTCGGGTAACATATCAGGTAAGATAAAAGGGTACATTATAGCAAGGTTTTTATATCGACAGATAACTACAACATAAGTTGACAGATTACACTGGTAAGGCTATATGTCTTAAGTACTGATAATGGGGAAGTGGGCAGTACAAGATACAGTGTGAGTTTGAAGCACAAGGTGGGAAACTATGAGGATGAAATTATGTACTTTCTTTGTTTTACTTTCGAACACGGCATAGGTTGGACAATTTTGTAATTCATCAGGGAGTGAGTTCCAAAGGCTGGGCCCTTTTATTTGCATGGAGTGTATGCACAGATTTAGTCTGACTGGGGGTTACCTTACCTTGCCTACCTACCTGACAGTCCCCAAACCAAGCCAGAATATTCTATGACAATTATTATTCTATGGGGATTCTATGGGAATATTCTATGGGGAGATCAAAGTGAGATTTATTTCTCGTGTGGTGCTCATGAGTTCTATTACACGTATCAAGGAAAAGTTATCAGATCAAGGTTAGCATTTAGGAATAAGGTTTTGTACATGTAGATAGCACATGAGAATGGAGTGTATGTTTAGCATGTAAGAGACTTAAATAGAGGGGGCAGTGTGTTGTCTGAAAACAGAGTTTACTATAGTTCTGATAGCAGATTTTGGCTGAGTGATGATAGGTTTGAGGTAATTTGCAATGGTTGAACCCCCATGCACAGATGGGGGTCTCTACTAGTGACTTTACAAGAGCGTAAGAACTCCTTTAAATTAAACAAAATAAATATATAAATAGAACAGGAGGGCCTTACGGCGTAGTTGGCAAACATACAGTGTCGCAGAGAGGATGGTGCCAACCTTAGGAATGAGATGTGGCCTTGGGGTATCGTGTGGGGGGGTCCAGGGGGTGATTGGGCACAGAAATATTGGCAGCGTGTAATGGGGGGATAGGAGGGGGGACATGAACAGGTGCCAGGACTGGTTGTATCAAGTGCATGGCTCTCACTCGCCATTGTTCTGCAAGCACCTACACTTGCTCGTTCTCTTGTTGAGCGTTAGCATGTGCTCATTGCTGGCTGTTCTCTATACTTGTGCTACTCTAGTAACTGTGTAGTGGATCCTATGCTACATTTGAGTATACAAACACAATTAAAAGTGTTATAATACTGCATTTATATTACAGACTGAACTGGTATTGCTGGAGCAATATGTTGCATTCTCATAGTACGTCTTGTAAATGCTAGAAGCTGAACAAGTGAAGGATACTCAATAGTGTTTACTACTGTAAAGTCAACCTTTACAATAGTGAAAGTAGCGAGTGTTAGTAAACATTTTCACCAGTGGAAGTTGAAGCAATGAAGTGTTTGCTAGCCGGATCCCTCTGCAAGTAACACAAGCGATAGTGCTGAAAACACAATTAGTAGTGTAAATTTATAAGTCTTGAATCACCGTCTAACCCACTGACTGTGACTTAACATTTGGAAGACGAAGAGAGCATTGAGCAAATTGATTGCAGGGACATAGCGCCGTGAAATTATTACCAGTGACGTGACGAAACTGACGTCATTCCAACATACGACATTAAAAATAAAACTGCTGTGCGCCTGGTAGCATCTGCTACAAGAAGTGCGATATGGCGTACCGTGGCGATGCCAGCATGGTCCGCTTACCCAGAGACAGTGATGGAAAAGCTTTCTCCTTGTACCCTCGCCAAGGTATACTTCCTGTCCCCTTAATAATTTGAATGTTTCTCTCTTAATGCTCTCATTATATTGTTTCTGCATGTCCACCTACTGCTTTGGTAACAAGAAGATAACGTGTTACATTAGATTTAGGAGACCTCATCTTCAGAAAGACAGCTGCACTGGTGAAGGTGCAACACCGGGAAACAAAAATCATTCCAAAGCTAATTCAACCAATTTGGAGGATGTTGATCCGGATAATTTCTTCAAAAGGTCAGATGTAATACAAACAAGGAGCAACAGTTTCAAGCTCAACAAGCCACAATGTAGGACTGAGAACAGGAGATGCTTTTTCACCCACTGGGTTATAAACCCATGGAACTGCCTACCCGTCAAAGCCGTAAATGCCAAAACTCTGTTAACTTTTAAAGTACAGCTTGAAAAGATCATCAGGACAAAGTTTTTTTTAATTAACAACCTTTGACAAGCCGCCGGCTTCCTGTCCTCGTCGAGGTCATTAGTTATGGCGGCCCTCAGGTAAATCAGGTAAATTAATTTTTACAATTTTGGTTGTCACCAACGACAGCGCTCAAAAAAGGCTTGGAGCATTTACGGCAGTGTTTACATTTATGAAAAACTGAGAACCGAAGCTCTACAATGTTATTTTATAGCAATAATAACTTTGGATTGTAAAATTTAGAAGATCATAAATGGTTTAATAAATGTGAGCAACGCTGCCTTGACTGTTGAAAAATGTACAGGCTCCATAAGGGAAGGGAAGGGAACTATCAGGAGAAAGTGCCAAGCCATTAAAATGTTTACACTTGGATGGGATAAGAATTTGGGATGGGACTGGAAGGAATGGTGCCCAACCACTTGGACGGTCTGGGATTGAACGGCGACCAGCATGAAGTGAGACCGATGTCCAGCCCACATATATAGCAGTCCTCGGGGTGCAGTGGTAACACTCGCTCTGCGCTTCGCAAGCGATTTTGCCTGGGTTTGTATCCTGGCCAGGGAGGATTGACTTGGCACCAGTTCTCAATTAAATAACTCTTCACCCAGGGTCCCTGTGTGTTAAACGATTTGGTGGATTGTATTCCACGAAAAATTAAGATATAAGGACCTGCCCGAAACGCTATGCATGCTTTTCTGCAGCTTTACAAGAATGTAGTAACTTATACAGTATTTAGTTGGGAGCTGTTCATATTTGTATTATTATTTATTTTTTGTCATGAAAACTAAGCATAATCAAATTAACAGAGTACAATTAATTTGAAAAGATGTTCAAAGTTATTTTTGTCAGGAGAAATAATATTGTTGAGGATTATTTTAATAGGAAAATTGAAGTTCGAATATGTGCTTAGATCCTAAGATCTTGGTTAGTTAACATATATTTTTTTGTAATTAGCAAGTTTAGGTATACACAGCAATGCTGCTACCCTATTCTATATGAAAGATTACACAGTGTAGATCAAAAACTAGCTACAAGTTCATCTAATATTCCCATCTCACAGGATGGTTAGTCAAACAAGGAATCAGGGTAGAAAATACCTGCCTCAATACAAAAAACAAATTAACTCTGATTAATCAACAACTTCACAATTTTTTACAAGAGTTAAGCACTGAATCATGGAAACATTATTTTATTTTATTTATTTATTTATTTATTTATTTATATACAAGAAGGCACATTGGGAATGTGAGGATACATAAAATGGTAATTACAGTCTTGTAAAGCCACTAGTACGTGCAGCGTTTCGGGCAGAAAATTATATATATAATTATTCATACCAGTTTCTTCAAGACTCATCTCAAAGACTCATCTCAGTCTATTTTTGTTTAAAACAAGCTTAGGTATACACAGCAATGTGCTGCTACCCTATTCTGTATGATGGACTACACAGTGTAGATAAAAAACCCAGCTACAAGCTCATCCAACATCCCCACCTCACAGGATGGCCAGTCATACATGGAATCAGGAGAGAACATGGAATGTAAGGCTGATCTATTAGCCCCCACTAGCACAATCTGGGTACAGCACAAGAATATCTTCCAATATTTCTGAGTGTATGAAGTAATTACAGAGCTCAAAGTACCTCATACCATTTGGTCTGAAGTCACTGATAACAAGGCAATCACAAATACTGTATAGTGTTGGAGAGTATGTCCCAGCTCTTGTTCACAGAGTTTACAAATGGAATGTTCACTATTGGGGGGATTCATTACCTACAGCCACCTGCCATAGATATCTATATCCCAGCCTTATTCTGGCAATTATAATGTCACACTCTAGTGGATATTTTATTCTGCCTGTACATATAATTCTCGGTTCTAAACATATCATAGCTCTTTATGCTCATGCTTTCTGGCCTCCGAGTGATCAGTAACTGCTCTTCTGTTTTTCCCTAATTTCCTGAAATATAGCAGCTTTTACAGCAGAGATTGGAGTGCCCATATCCAGCTCAATTTCAAGCTTATCACATGCAGTTTTTACATACAATTTTCATAAAGCTTTTACACACCGTGCAGCATAATTTTTTATTTGTTTATTTATACAGTATATACAGTACAAAAGTTGTTACATTCTTGTACAGCCACTAGTACGTGTAGTGTTTAGGTGCTAGGTGCTACAAGGTTAACAAAGTGGTTTGTCTGAATTCAAAGTACTGTAGTTATTTTTTAAATATTTTAAATATTTATATAGTTTGATTATAAACAAAATAATTTTTTTTATGATTTATAAAGGTAATTAAATTCATCCATTAATATAATAGAAACGTAATTTTGATTTCCAAAAATACCCAACTAAATGGGTTTGCAATAATAATTGTCTGAGATTTAAACTTTCTTTTCTTATTTAAATATAAGCTTTCATTTCAAAAGGGTTCAATGAAAAGTAAAGTTGCATGTAAAATAAACATAAAGAACTCCTTAATCTCTCTTAATTAAATAAATTTCACAAGAAATGGTACCAGCAAACACAGCCTTTTTTTTTTTTTTTTTTACATGGTTACAGCTTAAAAAGATTGTCTATCCACTTTTGCTTCTAATCCCAAAAGAATACCAATGATGCCATTATTAGTCTGGTTGATAATAATCTGCACAGCCCTTGACGAAAGTGAGTTCCCACTTGGCCTCTTCATTGACCTGAGAAAAGCCTTTGATGGTGTAAATCATGATTACCTTGTACTTAATTTAATAAACTTCATCATTATGGAATCCAGGGCCTTGCTCTTAACTAGCTTAAATCATATCATAGTAAGACACCAGTATATATAGCCTGATCACTAATATATAGCCTTCAATGACATAACCTTTCCCACTCTACCATTAATCATAGGAGTGCCATAAGGCAGCATCCTAAGACCTCTCCTATTTCTTACGTTTTGTATACTAAATTCAAAATTCAGATTTAAATTTTGATTCAAAAGAATGCATGTATAGTACAAAGAACATAGGAGTAATGTACAATTGTGGGGACAGGAGTATATATATATCTAATATCACAACATTAGATATTTCCATATTTGGGATGGAGGCGCCCGCACTGTTTGGCGTGACTTCCCCAGGTTCCCCTTTATGTTGTTGAGAAAGTCAGAGAAAATGGTACCAAGCCTCATTTTATATGAATGATGAGAGAGGAAGCTTTGAAGGAAGAGTGGTAAATTGACATGAAGGTCAAGAGAATATAGTTAAGTAAAAAAATATTATCTCCAGGTGGCATCACAAAACTTTTCTTAGTAAAAAAGAACGGCAATAATGAAGGTATTCACAGTGAAGGCAGCACGAATGTAGACCTCGAAGTCCAGTAAAATATCAGTTATACTGTGACGCTTGCAAAAGCCAAATTGAGAGGGGAAGACGTAGGGATGGTGTTCTAAGAACCACACGTTACATACAATAACCATACCTTCAAAAAGTGTGCAGACACAAATCGTCATGGCAATGGAGTGAAAATCCTTATGGGAAGTCTCATTGAGTATCAAGTTTCTGAATGGGAAGAACAACTGGCTCAAGCCAGTCCTTGGTAACTGATGTCATCTTCCAAATATAATTTTTTAAAATTTTATTTTGTTTATGTACAAGAAAATACAGTGGGTTGAGAGTACATAACATTGGTGTCCTTACATTCTTGTGAAGCCACTAACATGCATAGTGTTTTGAGCAGATCCTTAACGTAACAGATAAAGTAACAGTAAAAACACAATAGGTATATTGTAGCAGAATTTGATTTCAATATAAATACAATTAATTTATATTGTAGTTATTATTATACTGGTGAAGTTGCATGTCTTAAGTGACATGCAACTGAATGTCACTTAATGTGTAATTGGTGAATGGGTAGCATAAGATACAGTGTGAGGCTGAAGCACAAGGAAGTAAACTATGAGGATGTAATTAGGTACTTTTTGGTTTTACTGTACTTCTGAATAAAGCATAGCTTGGACAGTTTTTAAATCATTAAGGAGTGAGAATATAGTTACAGATATTCGGCAAATAGTGAAAGGCACACTGAGGGAGAGGATGAAACATCTAATATTGAATGCCATCTAAATCTGCCACTGTAAAACTGCAGAAGGACAGCAGCCTGCAGTTCAGAGAAACAAGGTCTTGAATTTTCTTTTCTCCTTGGTTCACAGTTGGCCCTCTTCTGTCATTGATATTTTTTAAGGTGGTGTTTTTGTTTGATCTTGCTGCCTCCTACAGGGTTGGGTCACTTCATACTTCACTCTGAAGGAGGGGGTTTTGTTCCTTTGGCCTTGGTGGGCAGCTTGTTCATCTACAGGCTTCTCCTTCTTTTCTTTGATTGATGCTTGGTTGGTCCAGCCAAGGGTGCATCATTTGTTGTGTCCTGTGGTGGCACTTCACCACTATCTGTGTGGCACCAGTTATGCCTTGGTGGACCCCTATTTTCCTTGGTCCCTCGTTCTAAAGCTCATATTTCTCAGATTGCTGGCAGTGTCATCAAGGATAACCAGCCTGTGGTCTACCTTTGGGGGCCCCTGATGTTTGTAAGTATGCAGGGTAGG